GATCCGAGGCCCTTGAACAATATGCACAAACACACATGACACGTTTATATGGCATGTGATTAATATAAATGGCAACTGATGCCGTTCGTCGCATCATCGTCCAATAAGCGGGTTTGATATAGCCTGCTTCTCTCACGCCCTCCGTGCAGAGAAAGCAGCCAGATCCTCCATGCATGATGCAGCAGCAGGAAGCAGCTCGGAAAACACACGTTATCCAGCGCGAAAATAATGAGAACGTAGTCCGGGTGAAGTGCAATACAAACACTGGGCGTTGTCGCATCGTTGCCGGCTGAGGCGAGCATGGCACTACCGTTTTCGAGTGAGCGGGTCCCACGAACTGCGGCGAAGGGAGCATCGGACACTGGACAGTCCCCGCGGCGGCCACTCGGCCACTCGCTCGGCGTCGTAGCGCTAGCCTATGCATGTATCCGCCCATCCATGTCGCTCCCCGGCCGCCTGTGCCAAACATGACTCTTATCAAGCATCGGCATGGGACATCACAGAAGTGCTGCAAATTATCATCCCGATGGACAGCATTCCCGTCCACCCTCTGAGCCACGCCCTCCACCGGCTTTCTTAGTCTCACCACCACGTCTTGGCAAGCCATGAAGCCCTCCGACAAGGAGACGATCGTCGTCGAGGACATGGCCACGGCCGAGACCGGCAGTCTTGCGAGGCGATCTCTGGCGAGTGTTCATGAAGCCGTGGATCCGCGCATACGCCCGTCGGACAGGCCCGCGGACGAGGACCTTGATAGAGGCCTGGTCCGCCAGTTGAGCAACTACATCGAACACAAGCATCATGCAAAGAGTTTGAGCGAGAAAGACGGCTCTCAAAATGATCCAGAAGAGATCATCTACGTGAGCCGGCCGTTCTCCATCGGCAGCAGCTATTAGCTTTTATTTACTCGGTATGCGTGTGGCAGGTGGAGTACGAAGAGGGTGACTCGAGGGATCCCATGAACTTTTCCAGGACCCGCAAATGGGTCATCACATTCACTGCATCGTTCTTTTCTATCATTGTTGGTATGTGGTGTTTATCTGCCTCACAAGCTGGAGAGTTGACTGACACCCACTCATCCAGCTTCGTCTTCCTCAGCATATGCGCTGGGTAACCCTTCCATGATCCGTGACCTCAACGCGACACCATTCCAGGCAACGATCGGACTGTCCATGTATACACTCGGCTTCGCCGTAGTCCCTCTTGTGTCCGCGTCATTCAGCGAGGAATTTGGAAGGCAGCCTCTCTACTTTTTCAGCGGCATCGGGTGCCTCCTCATGCACCTGATGATTGCACTGTGAATTCCTCCTTTTGTATGGCTTCTATGCGTGCTAATCCCGCAATTAGGTCGCAGAACATTCAAACGGTCATCATCGGTCGGTTCTTTGCGGGAGCATTTGGTTCGACTGGCTCTACTATGGTCGGCGGCACTATAGCGGACATCTGGGCCCCACATGAGTGCGCCATTCTACTCTTGGATACTTCAGGTCTGTAGCTGATGCGTACTGTAAAGGCGTGGGATGCCGATGTCGCTCTTCGCGTTTCTGGCGCTCATAGGGCCCGGCGTCGGTTGTGTCGCAGCAGGCTGGATCGAACAAGATCCGCATCTCGAATGGCGTTGGATACAGTGGATCCACGTGATGTACGTCAGCAATCGGCTACGATGCACATTGACAGAACGCACTGAAACACTCGTGTGCTTTAGATGGACTGGCATATTCGTCGTCGCTGTGCCGATCTGCATGAAAGAGACACGGTCAGGTGTCCTTTTGACAAGGCTGGCGCAGAAGCTGCGTAAAGACACTGGTAACCACCATTATCGCGCCCGCGTGGAAGATGAACGCGCAAGCTTGCGTACGTTGATCTACATTTCCTGCACCCGCCCGATCTGTAAGTTTGCCGCGTACATCTCGCTCGATGGGTTGGCTCACCATCGGTATGTGCAGATCTCTTGCTCACTGAACCCGTTGTTGCTGCGTTCAGCGTATGTCACCTAAATATGGTGTATATTAACCTCATTTATATCTTTATGCTAGCTTTGGGTAGGGTTCGCTTGGGGCATTCTCTACGTTCTCGTAGAGTATGTAGCGACTCTTGATGCTGGTGTGCTCCATATCTGACATGTTTCGAAAAGGTCAATCGCCCCGGCGTTTAGGACGATCCACCACTTCAACACGGGTCAGACGGGCACGGTATTCGTGACGATGATGTATGTGGGCCACTCTCATACAAAACGAAGCTTGACTAACCAGTTACTTGCCAGTATCGGTGGTATCGTTGGACTTGTCATGCAATTATTCCAAGAGAGACTCTATGCGTGCGTGGTCCCTTCCCGCCGCGCCCGGCAGGAACTAAATTCCCGCTTCAGGAAACATTCAGCAAAGAGAGGTCCCGAGGCACGTCTATTCGGCGCCTGCGCCGCTGCGATACTGTTCCCCTCGGGGATTCTCATCTATGCCTGGTGCACTTTCGAGTCGGTACACTGGATAGGGATGGCGATAGGCATCTTCGTTAGTCCAGCCACAGCCTGTGAACATTCCTGTTTTGCTGATTAATAGTGTTTCTAGGTCATCATGACCGCCCTCTTCGTTCTCTATGTCGCCGTCTTCACGTACCTGGCTGATTGGTGAGTCCCAAGACTGGTCACCGGTATCACCGAGCGCTAACTTCCTCCGGTAGCTATGGGATCTTCGCATCCTCCGCTCTCGCGGGCCAGAGCCTGTCTCGTACGTATCCTTTTCCCTTCCCTCGCCCCCCGATGCGCTTTACGCTGAACGACGGTCTCGTAGGAAACCTCATGGGCATGGCGTTCCCCTTGTTCACGGAGCAGATGTTCTCGCGACTGACGTATCACTGGGGGAACACGCTCTTCGGCTGCATTGCCGTCGCAATGATTCCCATTCCCTTCGTGCGTATCTTTGGTCCCACGCCGTTGTTGTGCTTCCGTTGATGCATGTCATAGATTCTCCTATGGAAGGGGCCTGTCATTCGTGCGAGCAGCAAGTTCGCCTCGCAGGTTATTCAAAAAGCTTGAGCCTCTTAAATCTCCTGATCCATCGTCATTCGCGTCGATGTATCACACAATAGAGGCTTCCAACTTTTGGTGAGCTCTGGTAGATGACATAGCTGTTCGTTCTTGGCCCCTTGTAGGGTCTAATGCACGTGTTCCGTCTTGGTAGCTTAGCTGATGTCGTCTATATCGCACCCTCACTCGCCCATTCGCAGTGCATAGTCGCTCTTTCATTGGTACAATAGTACGATACAGTATATGCTTTAAACTTCCTCGTACGCCCCACAACAAGGCACTTTCCTTCCAACCCATGTCGGCGTCTTAAAGCCCAGAGCCTGTCAGCATCTCCAGGGCCTCCAAGTAGCGCTTCCGGGTGCCCTGCACAACGTCATCCGCCATAACCCACCCCTCGCCCTCCTTCCCCTCCGGCCCGCTCTCTAGACCCTTCCGGAATCCCGTCTGCGTGAGCCAGTCGCGCAAGTACTGCTTGTCGAAGCTCGGCTGCGGGCCGCCGGGGGCGTACTCCGCCGCAGGCCAGTAGCGCGACGAGTCGGGCGTGAGCAGCTCGTCGACGAGGATGAGCGTGTCCTCCCCGGCGCTGCCGTCCGCGGCGGGGACAAGCCCGAACTCAAACTTGGTGTCGGCGAGGATGAGACCACGCGTGAGCGCGAAATCCGCAGCCTCTTTGTACAGCGCTAGGGCCGCGCGCTCGACCTTGGCGTATAGCTCGTGGCCGATGAGGGATGCCGCTGGGACGGGTCGAGGGACGAGTCAGGTGGCGCGGGGGCTAACGGGATGGAGAGGATGGAGGCCTACCTTTTGTGGGAGAGATGTTCTCGTCGTGCTGGCCCTGCTCCGCTTTGGTGGAGGGCGTGAAGAGGGGCTCGGGCAGCTTTTGTGACTCGACTAAGCCCGCCGGGAGAGAGATACCGTGGACGGTGCCCGACTCCTTGTATTCCGCCCATCCGGAACCTACGAAGGCACACTGTGAATGGGCGGCTTCGGAGCATACGAAGCGTAAGTACCTGTGATGTACCCCCGGACGATCGCTTCGAGGGGGATAACCTTTGCTTTCTGCACGAGCATCGCGCGTCCCTCGAGCTTCTCCCGGAAGGGCCTGACCTCCATGGGCATTTTGTCGACGTCGGCCGTGATGAAATGCGTGGGGAGGACATGGGCGAGCTTCTTGAACCAGAACAACGATATTTTCGTGAGCACCTTGCCCTTGTCCGGCACGCCCTATAAGCGCCAGTCACGGTCGAGGTGGATGCGCGATTGGGGGTTGCGTATACGTATGGCGTTCATGAGCTCGCAGTCTGAAAAAAACAAATGACACGAGGGCGAGAGAGACAAACGTTGCGGAGGATCACGTCGTACGCGGATATGCGATCCGACGCAACGAAGAGGATCAGGTTCGGGTCGGAGGTCGCATAGACGTCCCGGACCTTGCCCTTGTTGAGTAGCTGTAGCCCTTGCAGATTGCTGTCTATGAGTGCCTCTGAACTCATGTTGCGTCCGAGAGAGCGTTGCTTTCTAGGCTAGTCAGTGCCGGGTAGTGCCAAGAGCTGCGGATCAAGCAAGTTGACGAAGAATCGACTGTCTTCCGTCTGAATTTGAAGATCGGAAAGTGATCGACCGAATTAGGCAGGTGTTGTGGATCTAACCTGCGGCCCCGAGTGAGTGCGCGAGTAGTAAGTACCATTACAAGTGCTATGATCACGAAAGAACCCTCGGTTGACTATGTAGTCATGTTACGCCCAGCCTTACCAGATACGAGTCCAGCACTTGGCTAGACATGCGTTACATTACACCAGGAGCATGGACGTGCAAGCATTGGGTCTAATCCTATAATTAACAAGAACCCTGAAGATCTTGTGATATGATGTTGATTGCCAACTAAGGCTTAGGCTATACACCGACTTTGTAGACTACCCTGACAAAACTAAAAACTAATATAGATGGGAGTTGGCAAAAATAACGAAAAACCTTTAGCCCACCGCGAGGGTCGAACTCGCAGCCTTCAGATACACCCGCTAGTAAGAGTCTGACGCTCTATCCGATTGAGCTAGGCGGGCGATAAATTCTTCATTTATTTTAGCGCCATCAGCGCCACACAGCATGAGAATTGCAAAACGTAGGGTCAGCACGGAGCGCTCGACTCGCAGACGGCCCCGGCTCCTCGATGTTTGATCCATCAGCGCATCAACACTGATCATGTTCTATATAACGCACGGAGGCACGTCTCTGTGTATTTGGGACAAGAACGCATATAAACTTGGTAACATTCAAGGTGTAAGGGTAGATAGCGGACCTAGTCGAGCGTCGCAAGCATGGACTTGAAATCAGTGGCGCGCCAGAGTCTTTGCACACCTTCGGGCTTTCGGGAACGGTCTCGTCGGTGAGGGCGGCCACAACAGGGATACGAAGTAAAAAATACGAAGAGATCATGCGAACTTGTGGTCGGATACAGAGTCATAGAGCAATCATCCGGAACCACTATGTCCCGTCCAACACCGCTTGAGCACGGCGTCCTGTCGGATTCCTACTTTCTAGCTTGCAGTTCGCAGTGACTCTTCTTGCTTATTTGATGCCTCAGCTCTATTCAATAAAGACCCTGGGGGGCACCGCCTTTCCACGTTGCCGTCCCATCAATCGTCCAGCTGAACGGTCAAGGTTGTCTGCCTGGATTTCCTAAACCGCATCGGACTCCTGCGTTAACCGGACAACTCCGCTGCGAGTAATACAGACGTATACGCACCTCGAATCTAAAAACAGAACCCCGCAGCCGATAGCCATGCAATAAGAATATACAACAACCCGGTCGATGCCATCGGACGCTTCGCAGGTCGACACAGCACCATTCCGTTCGTCCGGAGACGACCCTGAACTAGCCGTTGAACCTGGGCAGCGTAGACGCTGCGATAAACGGTGGTCTCAAGCAAGCGTTGTTGCGACAACAAGGTCTTAGACTGGATATTGATGACATTATGTCCGTGGAGCGCGTCTGAAGAGGGTGGTTTGTAAACACACCGTCGTCGGCGGAGGTAATTAGAGTCGCCGGCGTGATCACGTTCGGTCGCGAGAGGAGCGCCCCGTTTTGCTCGGAAAGCGTAGTACGCCGTTCGGACATATGGTCGGTCCTAGCACTAATGTTCTCCGCTGTGCCTTGGGTATTTACCATAGGACATTGAAGGGGTTTGAATGAAGAGCTTACTCTCAACTGGACTCGAAATTACAAACGAGGCGTCAAAATCCCATGCTCCCCGTCGAGACCCTGGGTGCCTGCAGGGTCACAGCATGGTGGTGTATATTTAGTGCGGTACAGTGTATAATTTGGGCCTCTATCTGCGAAATCCGAGGCTGAGGCGACACATGTATGCGCAAACGCGAATGTAAACAGAACATCGCGGGGGTCTCGGGGATCAGCAACTCACCTGGGGCCCTGCCACTCCGAGCAGTATGCCTGCAGACTCCGTGTCGAGTACTCAGACTTTGCGTCGCTCCCCGCATCAGGGCGATTGGCACGCTCCCGGCGGACAGGGCTACACTGTGAATGAAGCGTTCCCTTTTGGCAAGTTGAAATGCAACGCATGCGAGAGTCGTTCGGCCGATGCACAACATGCATCCCTGTCATAGCGGATTGCAAGGGTCAGCGCTGACCTACACTCGCTAAGCAAAGCAGAGTGCTGAATGCTGCTTCCTTACCCCAGGATTTTCCGGGGAACACGGAGGCCAATTCGAAATGAGCTCGTCCAGTCCGGGCTGCACTCGGCCCGGGTCGAGGAGTTTTTGGGTGCGCGATAGAACGCGTCGATGTAGGTCCGTGCTGCCCAAACAGGGGAGGATCTCACACCGGATCCCAGATCGCGCGCACATGGCGAAATGTCGACACATGCGCGCAACGTGGACAAAAGGCGTTCGCCGTAAAACTGAAATCATCGTTCCTGGCAATCCTCAGCCTGAGTGAGACATTGACAATCCCCGCACAAGCGCATCGGGAGGCGAGGTGATGCGTGCGTCGGCAGGCTGCAAGCCGCGTCAAGGGCTTCGTCGGGCGTGTCCAGATGACATCCGAATCCATCGCTAGTGGCTATGGTGAGCCCAGCGAGCGAGGAAGATAGATGGATCTAGACGACTGCGTCCGAACCAAGCCTCGGAGAAACGACCAGAAGCACGCACGATGGTCGGGCCTTGCAATGCCTCTGATTGGGAATAGCGCTTACATGATACGCACCAACAGCGTGGCCAAGTTGAAGCCACCCATTCCGGGGTGTGTACTGTGCAGCTGCGCCCGCACTCGGGTCTCGCATGCCAGCCAGCACATGGCAAGCATATGATACTGCGTCCGAACGTGGCTAGAAGTCGTTAGTGTGCACACACGCATCAAACAAAGCACGTACTGCTCCAAAGCACCATTTGGGCGGGGGCGGGTGCATGACCTCAGCGGTCTTCCGCTGGCTTCGCGTCCTTCTCCCGCACCGAGACTTGCACAACGCGGGCATACGGGGTTCGCGCGTGGGTCGCTGTAATGAGAACATATTCGGCGCGAGTGCGTCATGCGCGAGTTAAACATCGCGCGGCCGACAATTGGTAATCGCAGTAGCGTATGGCTCCTCACCGTGAGAGCGGGCCATGCCTGTACGGGCATCCTGCAGGCGTGCACGCGGAGTGGTCTCGCGGAAAGCTGCGAAGAACATATAGCGCAAGCTCGGCGCAGCCCCGGACGCAGACCGCAGCAGCATGGGAAAGGACCCGACGAATATAGCTACAATGACAGTTATCAGCGTATTAGCATGACGCTTGCTCTGCATGGAGGAGCTCGCGGCGAGAGACAGCGGCACACGCACATACCGGCAGGCAGAACGACAGGCAGAATATGTGCTTCAGTTTTTCATTAACGCTGTCGTTCAGCCTCCCTGCCTTCCTGAGGCAACGAGTATGGTAATCCAGGTAGTCTGACCGCGGGCGCTCACGGTGACGTCCAGAACAGGAACGGCGAGGAGCGTAAAGGAAGTTGTTCTCCTCTACATGAAACTGCCCGTGCCATCTGTTACAGAGCGCGTGAGATCCATTACACGTCGCCCAGAGTGGTGACGGGGATGGAGCGAGACGGCGTGGACGTACGGAGAAACCTTCATGGAAATGTCGTCGTATTCTCGGGCAAACCTTACGGTACGGGGATGCGGGGCGAGAGGGCCAAGACGTCCGCGTGAAGCTAGCAACTCTGGGATCATCAGCCAAGTCACGCCTCGTGAGAGGCTGCTTGTCGTGAGAGCAAAGACGTCGACGAACCAAAGGATAGAGCTCAGCATGCCCTGAAATGTGCAAGCCATCCCGTCCAGGACTGCATTGGCACCGGCGGACCAGCCGTACACCTTCCGAGGCAGGACAGGCACGAGCATGCGATGCAATATGCATGACGCAGGGACCACGTCCCGAGCAGCTCTTTCCAAGAGGGCAAGCGGGCGTGTGCCGTATATCATTATGGAGATGCGCCCTTTTGCCCATGATACATCACCGTTGTTCGTGCACGATCGAGACGCTGGATAGCGCAGACGCGTGCGCGCACTAGTCAGCCAAGATGCAACTGAGTTCTCGCGATCATCGAACATTGCGCGATGCTGAAGCAACTTGGCGAGGAGGTTCATCAGCAGTCGGAGCGACAGGTAAGCAAGCTTTGGGCGACGGCAAAGGAAACCTGCTGATGTTCACCAGAAGGCGCGGGATGGACATCAGTAGTGGCATGATCGCTCTCATGGGCATCCCATGACGGGACGTGCTCCGGCCTGGAGTTGCGAGCTGATTATCGCATTACCTGGAGTGGGCTGCGGACCCGGAGATTGGCATTTCCGAACAGAGCAGGCAAGGTGCTGCACGAAGACGTCCGTGAGACTGAGAGGGACATCATCGGGACACATCGCCAGTTCATCGCAACCCCTTCGCAAAAGGGGACAGTCCCGAGCTCAGGGTAGCAGCCTGTGAGAGCATCGACGCAAAACCGCCGGTATGGACTCGGTCTGAGACGCACGGAAGCATTCATAGTCCGTCCCACGTCGCGGCGAAGACCGTCCGAGCGAGCGCAACATACTACGTCGGTGGAGCGGGATCAGAAGTTGTTTCACTGCACAAGCTTCTTGCTCGCCGAGACTGGCACAGAACATCATGAGAGGTTGCTCCGCGTGGCATATGGTGAGAACGAGCGGCGATGGCGGTGTATTTTGGTAGTCGGCATCCTCCCACGAGAGATCATGAATGGCAAAGACAAGGTATCCAGGTGGTTCATCTCGGATTCAGCAGCGCTCCTGGTTACGCCGCTAGCAAGCCTGGGTACAGAACAGGGGTCTGTGGGATCCGTTGCGGAATCGTTCGGCGGTGGTTGGCAAGATCTTTGTGCAACAGAACCAGTGCGTGGTGGGGAGAATCAGCAGGGTGAAACCGTTCACGTGTACAGCACCTTCCACCAGCCTTGCGGATATGCTGGAAACGTGGTCCCTTATGGCGTCCAGAAACAGATTGTGGTCGAGTGGAATGCTGGAGGAGACCGCACAACAGATGAACGCGAGGTTTGGATTGAGAATGGAGGAATTGCCTGAAGCGGCCTCTGGTTAGCAGCTTACGTAAGACAATCGTCGCTGCTTCTCGTCGTCGTGTTCGACGCTCTCCGTCGCATTCAATCCATCCCAAAGCCCTTCCGCCGCCGAAAAACTCTCCTTCTTATCTCGTAGCGTGCAATGCCTATCAAGCACCTGGACAGTGAGTGCAATATCTTGCTCACTGTTGTCCCGTGAACGAGTGGAGTCGGCGCAAGCGGTGCATCTTACAATGGTAACGTCTTTCAGGCTATTTGTCCGAGCGCAAGCATGTGCAGACCCAACCTCTTTCCGTTCTCTCCGACTCACGACTGGGTATTGATGCATCGCACTACCTCACCACTTTGATCGAGAACCCTCCCTCGAAAGAGCCTCTTCTCGCTGCCACCGGCGGTCTTCCCCTCGCTCTCAGCACGCGCATCGAATCAGACCTCCGCGCACTCGAAAAATTCCGCATCAAGCCTGTATTTGTTTTCAATGGACTC